TGTCTGTTTTACCTGCACCTCCAAATTAACCGTTCATTTAATAAAATATAAAAAAGTGTAATGATGATTTAATTGAAAACCATAAAATACAATGAATTAAATTTAAATTAATAAACTAATCAAAAACAAAAAAAATACAATAAATAATTAAATAATAATTCATATTAAAAAATAAAATATTAATAAATAAGTATAGATTCAAACAATTAACAAACGTATTTAAATTTGGAAATTAAAAAAATTTAATTACATTAAAAATAATATTTAAATAAATATCAGATATAAAAAATACAAATTCAAAATATTAAATATTTAAGTAAACTAATAAAAATTTAAAAAACAAATCAAATTGAAAAACGTTATAGTAAATCAAAATAAAAAGAAGGAGCATTAAAAAATTCCTTCGCTGCAGATCGAACTGTGGTTTAAATGAGTCGCACTTCCAAGTGCGGATACCGCAGTTCCAACTGCAGCGCGGTATGAATCGCACTTCTAATTGCGATTATGGTGGATGTTCAACTGCACTTCCAAATGCGGCAACCTCTGCTCGTCGGCGTGCTCTCAACCACTAGGTATTGACTCGATCTTGTCCAATCCAACCTAAAAATGTATCAAATCCAAACCTTCATTCTATCAAACCTAGAAATGCATCCAACCCAGCACGGTGTCCTCTCAACCATTGCGGTTAAGGCCTTGACCTTCATCCCTTCCAATCCAGAAATGCATCCCAGCACATACAAACAGTACATACAAATACCACATACAAACAGCAGTCAAAAGATTTTCTGTGGTTATGTGGTTCTGACAGGAGTACAATTGAAATAATAGAAAAATAGAAAAATGTAGGGTAAGATCAGTGAAGTGCAAGGAGAAGCACTCTTAAGATACTAATGAGTTTCATAATGATAGTTTTCACAATTTGGATCGTGCTAAAATATTTATTTTGGCATGGCATTTCACAATAATATTTTTAAATTGTGTATTATATAATCTAAAATATCTAAATATCATATAATCTAAAACTATAATTACAATCGGACTATAATTAGAATTTTGAAAAATATAAAATGCAGAAAAAAAAAATGAGAATGCAAGAACAAATTTTCTTTTAAAAATCATAACATACTAAAATCGAGAAGAGAAAAAACTCACAGCTGAATGGACCCATAAACAAGACCCGAATTTAACAAATCCGACAGAAAAGTGAGAAGGCAAATTACTTCCTCACCTCATCAAATTTCTTTTCTCACCCTATCAAAACTTTCTGCAAGAAAATGATGGATCGCAGGAAGTAATTTTCAAGTGAAGAAGGCAAGAATCCATGTTACAATTTAATAATTTATTTCCATAAATTGAAAAAAATTAAAATACTTTTGTTATTCTTTTAATATTCAATATAATATAATACAATTAATAATATTAATTTAAATATTCCTCATTTTCCATAATTTTTCCTATTTATTTTTTATTTTATTTTTAAAACATCCTCGTAATACATTAAACAATTTATCTCTAATTCTTTTCTTTTAGTAAAATTGACTTTTACGTACAGAAAACCAGACAAATCCAAAATCTCTTTCGGACATAGTTTGAAAATATTTGGTTACCGCCAATAAAAAGTTCTCACTTTACCTATTTTTTAAAAAATCATAACGTATCACTTTTTTCCCCTTTTTTTTAAATTTTTTTTAATATTTAAAATAAATAAATATAAAAAAGTTCATGAATTTTATAAAACATTTAGTGCAAATTTTTATACTTTTCTAATTCAGTCTTATACTAAAATAAATATACCAGTTTTTCTATAATTCATATTTGGACACATTTGTTTTATCTAATACGAACTAAAATAACATAATTAATTTCCGGAAAATGGATTAAGCCATAATAATTATTGCTAACAAACAACAAAAAATTAAAAATTGTTGTTACAAAAAATAAAAAATTATCGTTAAATGTTTTGTATGTGAGCAAGTTGACACAAAACTTGTAATATATCTAAAACATTTGAATATTGAAAGATGCGTTGCATCGGTCGGAGAGAAACCCGTGATTGATTATTCTATTTTCTTAATTTAATTAATAAATTGTACCATATATTTAAAAGTACTCTGCATTTTCTTTCTTTGCTGCCTAATAGTTTGGCAGGAGGCACCGAAGTTTCTAATTCAATTATTCAAAACAAAAGGAAAATAAACCAACCAAAAAGTACTTTTGAAATTTCAATACATGATAATTTTTATATATAAAATTAAATAATTTTGGTAACTTACCATTTTAGTGTATATATATATATATATATTTTTTTTTTCTTTCACATTAGACATGATTTATTTTTCTCATCGTACGTACATGAGTAGACAGCAATTTTATGGGAGGTTTTTCTTATCAAACTTTCTGTATTAAATATCAAAAGAGAATTAATGTTCTTTTTAATATACATTGCCCGTACATACTCAATTCCTATTTATCTTGTTAATTTAAAAAAATAATGTTTTTAAATTTAAGGTTGAAAATGTTAAATATCATTGTAGTAATTTTAAATTTAAAGTAGGCTTAATACCTCTTATGGTCCCTATTTTTGTTAGGTATGTTCGATTTGATCCCAGTTTTTTTTTTCTGTTCAATGTTGTCCTGAAGAATGTAATTTTTGTTCAATTTAGTCCTTTTTGCAAATAGCGTTTAAATCGTTAATGGCAGATAGTCTAGGTATGCACAAGACTAATGAGATGACATTTAACTACTGTCAGGTCACCATATTCTTCATCCTTTTGCCTAAACAGATACTGAAACCCTACTTTCTCTCTAGTCACCTAACCCTAGCACCGCCACTGAACCCTAACGCCACCGCCACCACAAACCTCATCCAAAGTCATCATGCCGCTGTGAAGTCGCACCTGCAAAGAACCATGGCAGCCATCACGCGCAACCTCCATGGCCACTACCATCAAAGTCGCGATCTCCCCCAAACCACGAAACTCTCCTCAGGCCGCCGCGCTACCCAGATCACCTTCGTGCCTCCGCCATTACAGGATTTTCTCAAGCTGCCACTGTCAGCATCTTGTACTTGCAAATCAAACACAAGCACCCAGAAACAGAGAAAGCTGAATCGCACCACCTAAACCGCTAAGTCTTCATCGTCAATAATGTCGCAAGCCACCCTAATCTTGAACTCCATTCAAATCTTCATTCTCGCACATCAGCCATGAATAATCCAAATCAAGAGCTTTATCGTCAACGCGACAATCCTTGTTGCTGTCGCGCAAAGCTCTAGGGCCATCATCTTCTCCAACCTGCAGAGAACCACAACGAAATCCAGAAAATCCCAAATCAAAGAAACTCGCTGCTTGCCTCCATCGGCCACCATGAGTGCTTTCTTACACAACTAGGTTCGTCTTCTTCATGCTATCATGAGCCGCACAATTCACGAAATCATCCTCATTGAAGCAAAATCGCAAGCAACGTTTTCCTTCTTCTCGCGGCGCAGGAAGATTTCCCCCAAATGTAGAACCCTAATTTTGAGGTGGTAAAGGGGCTGCCACGAAGACTCTACTTTTGACGTGGCAGTAGTTAAATGTCATCTCATTAGTCTTGTGCACACCTGAACTGTCTATCGTTAACGATTTAAACGCCGTTTGCAAAAATGACTAAATTGAACAAAAATTACATTCTTTAGGACAATATTGAATAACAACAAAAAAACTGATATATCTTAAAGATTAAGTAGATTTCAAGATAAATTTGAGAATTTTTAATTAAATTTTGATGGTTCATCTGGCACTAAAAAAAATTAATTAAGTATGTTGAAAGTCTCACATCAACTAGAGATAAATTAATATATAAGTGAGGTGCAAACCTTATCTTATAAGATGGTTTGTGGGGTTGAATTAGGCTTAAGCTCATTTTCTTATATTCACTATTTAATTTTTTATTAACCAAATGGTATGACTATTAAGTGTCCTTAATTTTTAGAAAAAAAAAATTAATCTCTCTTCAAAACGTTTATTTATTCTAGTCTACCAACTTTAGAAATATATTGTTTAATCATTCTAACCAAATTCTGTTAGATTTATTTGACATTTCAAACACATTTATGATAATATTTGATTTATTTACATCATTTAACACATTTTTACTTTAATATTAAGTGAGAAACACATTTAAAACGGTCAAATAAATGATTAAATCCATGTAGTTATAGAAAAGAGAAACTAAATTAATAAAAAAATTTAAAAATTGACTAATTCCAATTTTCTCATAAAGTTAAGAAACCAAAAATATATTTAATCATTTTACAATAAAATAAACTACTCAGTACTCATTAGTTTGTTAATGAGGTTGTTACAATGCTATTTGTTAAAATCCAGTTTTAAACATCTAAGTTGATAGTAAATGCTAATAAACAAAGAAAGAAACTTCTCAATGACATTAAAAAAGTGAGTAAAAGTATGGTAAGATAACATTTTTGTCATTGTAATTGGATATTAGATGTATAGTATCTTTATCATTAACTACCATAATGGTTGTACATGTTCACGTGTTACCAAAGCATGAAGCAGAGAACTCAAATTGCATTATGTGACAAACACAAATGTGAAATACTAAAATATCAGCAAATATACTTTGCTTACCACATCTTCACTTCAAAACACTGTTTTCTGCACCAGACAAAATCTTCACATAAGCTTTTGCTATTCCTTCCACCAACACACATACACCAAAACATTTATGTGATTTTCTTCAATTATTTCACAAGCTACAACAACTTGTTCACTGCATGGAACAATAGGGCAGATTAGGAAAATAAATACATAGGGGTATCAGCTACCTAGCTCCTGTGCCTCCACGTTTACAATAACACCAAAAATTTGTCACAGATGGGGACATGTACATGGGATCTGTCATAAAATAGCCAAAACTAAAACATTATCAATGACACTGTACACTCACGGCACAAAAAGTGTATTTAATAATAAACAAAATCATTATATAAACAATAAAAGAGAGAGAGAGAGAGATGAGGAAGCAAGGTTGAAGTTAATAAGAAGGGTATGAATGATGTTGCAGAGTTGTGGCTGAAACTTGTTCATAGTTTAATTGGGTGAGTTGGGAATGATGCAAGCTTGTGCAGCATATAAAAAATTAAACCACCTATTTGGGTTAGAATATTGAATAATAACATAAAACCAGACCACTGTAGGATGATAACAAGATTTATCTTTCTCTTTTGTCAAAAGGGGTGCATAATCATATCCAAAAGCACAATTTTTTTATCTGTTTTCCTTCAATGCAGAAGTAGCCATGCCGAAGCCTTGTGACTTGCAAATCAACATCGATGGTCAGCAGATATTTCTATTGAAAGAGGTATTCACTTATATGCTTTCTAGTTTGATATACTTCATAGGAAAACTATAAACATTAGTTGTTGTCAACACTCAATCCGAATGAATATACAATTGTGTAAGGTGATCTGACTCTGGTTTATGTATTTTGCAGAAGGTTATTTCAAAATACTGTGGAGGGTTGAAGAAAATCTTGAATCACAGAAAGAGAAGAGGTCATGTGAAGCAGGAGTTGGGGATTAGGATCAATGATTTTCCTGGAGGACCAGAAGGGTTTGAGCTAGTTTCAATGTTCTGTTACAATAATGGAAAAATACAAATCACTGAAGCTAATGTGTGTCTCCTACACTGTTGTGCTGTTTATCTTGGAATGACTGAGGAGGTACTCAGCAACAATCTGTTGCAGCAAACAGAAGCTTTTCTCCAGGGAATCTTCAACTGGAAATGGAGTGAAACACTTGTGATTCTCAAGAGTTGCGAGCGGTTTTATGCATATGCAGATGGTTATGGTCTTTTGGAGAAGATCATCAGTGTCTTAGCCAAGTTTGTGCAGAATTCAGATTCAAACCTCCTCATGTCCTCACCTTCAGCATCATCATCATCTTCTTCACCAGAAACCAATTCTGCTAAAAGATTCTCTTTTTCATCCAAGAAAACTACCCCAGAAAAAATAAAGTCAACTTTGTCACGCAAGGCATGGTGGTTTGATGATTTGGCAACTTTACCACCAAATATCATCGAGAAACTTGTCCAGGCTATAGGAGCATACAAAGCTGATAACAAAGATTTAGTCCTCACAAGATTTCTGCTGCATTATCTGAAACTAGCTACTCAAACCAGAGTAGTTAATAGCAGCAACAACAGTGAATATGCTGCTCTTGCAGAAACTGCAACTTATGGAGTCATATCAGTTGGAAAAGAGATATTTTCTTGCAGAGGCCTTTTTTGGGTTTTAAGGATTGTATCAAAGCTTGGGATGGGTAGAGATGTTAGAACAGAATTGGAGAAACTGATTGGTGGGGTGATTGAGCAAGCTACACTGGATGATCTTCTGGTTTCTGGGCATGACATGGGAGTTTATTATGATATTAATTTGGTGATAAGATTGGTTAAGGTATTTGTTGATATGAATGGCTATGATGATGGAATGTGTTTACAGAAACTGAAAAGGGTTGGTAGATTAATTGACAAGTATTTGAGAGAGATATCCCCTGATCAGAACCTCAAGATCTCTAAGTTTCTTGGAGTAGCAGAATGCTTGCCAGACTCAGCAAGGGATTGTTATGATGGAGTCTATAAAGCCATTGACATCTATCTTCAGGTGAATAACACATACACTTTCCCTTGCTTTTCATATGCATCATCTTCCTCAATGATCATAGGAATGAAAAAGATCAAAGAGATGATTGTTTTACTTGAGAAAGCAAATTTTTGGTTTTTATTTCAGTTTTTATATAAATAACTACAAAAATGGTACAATATATAGTTTTTATTTTGCTTTCTGACACTAAAATTTGTACAAAAAACAATAAAGATCCCTTATTATTTTATTCTCAATTTGTTTTTTTTTCTTTTTAATTAATTTTATTATACTTACTTGTATACATATTCTTTTTATTATATAAACGTATACACATGACTGTATTATGTGCCATATGCAATCAACCAAAAAAGAAAGAAAGAAAGAAGAAGGAAGGGACCAGGATACATACAATCTTATTTAAACATTTCTCTAGATTCTCAAATTATTTCCCCCATTTTTCTAAGACCATCAACTGTCATTATCAGGAGCTTCAATTGCAAAAATATATTATATTATATTATATTATATTGGATGCTGTAGTGTAAAAATTTCATGCTAAAAATATTTTAATCCGTATATTGGGCTTTTTTTGTTGTTGTTTTCTGTTACAAAACACGGGGAGTGGGAAAAAATCTAATAAAGTCAAGGCATGCGATCGGGTTTGGAAATTCTTGAACCCCATTTATAATAATAAATCCCCAAATCCATAAGTAATTTAGAACAGGAAATTACTGTGAAAAAAGATTTTAATTTATACAATCTCACCATAAATAAATAAATAAATATGTATATATATTGCCTTACAATAAAAAATTATGGAAAATATACTATTAATAGATGATAATATATATTTCCTTTGCACTGTTAATATACAGAGTGTTCATGATTAAAAAAACTATTATTCATAAGTTTCATTCATCTCAATATTCTGAATTCTTGCTTCCAACTGAACATGACAGCATTAGCTGCTACATAAAATTTTGTTCTTTCTTTTATACTACCGTATTTGACTAGTACTACTAAGTATTATTTTCTGAACCAATAATGATTTGCAGGCTCATCCAATTATCACATTTGAGGAAAGATCGAGACTGTGTAGATGTCTTAATTACACCAAGCTCACCTTTGAAGCAAGTAAAGATCTGGCCAAGAACCCCAGAATACCTCCAATCATTGCAATGCAGGCTCTTATTTCTCAACAATCAAAGGTTCCAACAATTGACTATGTAACTGAGAGTCCAAGAGTGAAACCTTCCCAATTAGTTTTGTACAATGAAAAAACCAGAAACAGCTTCACCAAAGAGAAGAAAGAAATGGAACACAACATAGACAAGATGCAATGGGGAGTAATAGAACTAGCGAAATTACATAAGGAAATGAACGGTCACGTATCGAAGTTGATCTTGCTTGATCCTCCTCGTTCTTCATCCTCACCAAGATTTTGTTGAGTGTCTTTTCTTCATCTTGTGTAACTCTCCACCTCTATCCAAGATATTATAGTGTTTCTGGAATTGTAAAAAGCTGTAATTGTAATTTTATCTTCTATTTGCTTTAGAATTTCAACGCCGTACATGGAATCAAATAGTAGAGATTTCGTTGCATACATCAATATTATTGGATAGTTTTCTGCGAACAAGAGAAATAATGTTATTGTGTATTACGTTCTAAGGGTAGTAAAGTTTTGATTGCTTCGGACTTCGTTGTTTTAATCCATCTGTAAGCTTGGGATATTTTCTGAATAATAGGAATAAAACAATAATGAAAGAGTGCAGGAAGAGATGTTAACAGTTCTGAATGATAATATGTTTCAGAACAAACCCTTTTTAATCCAAAAGTGCTCCAGTTTTAGTCAAACTTCTAGCTTTGCACTCTGTAAAATAGCCCACTACCTTTTAGTTTGTAGAGAAAGAAAATTCATCTGGCTGTCCTTGTTTCCTAAAGTTGTTAGCCTCTGGTTATACCACAAAGGGAAAAAGGAAAGGAAAGAAGATAGACAAAAGTAGAGGAGTTATCACTCACGATTGGTATTGAGTGCTTAAAAAGAAAGGCCTTTCCTAATTTCCTTTGGTTTTACAACGAGAAAGAACGAAACGCAAATAGAATGGTTGGAGTGTATGTAAATATGTGGTGAGTGGAGACCACAAAATTACTTACCCTCCTTCCAAAAGAGTATGAAAAGAAAACCCTTTCCTAATTTCCTTTGGCTTTTACAATGAGAAAGAATGAAAAAATCAATAGAATGAATGAGATGTAAGTATGTGGTGAGTGGTGCCCACCAAACTACTTCCTTTCCTTCCAAAAGAATATAAGAATGGTGGGGCATATGGAAATTCTATCATCACTGCAATCATTTCCCATCTTTTGCAAATATGCTCAAATATGGATGAACTTCAGCCTCTCAATTCAACATTTATCATTTTCTCTATGTCCTAAAAGCACATAACAAACAAAGCCAGGAATAATTGGTACGTATAAAGATTAACAACAATGCAATGATCACATAAAAACACAAAAGTAATTTTATTTAAGGAGTTCACCAAATAACAATAGAAAGATATTCTCCTAAACAAATAATATATTTGCTTCCAAAATACTCATGATATGAATTATGAAGCATCAGAATTTCAACGGTGCAGATGCTGATAAGTAGCGCACATATGAAAAATGTAAGCAAAATAAGCAGGAAAAGGATATGGAAGACAAATGAAGTTCAACTATCAAGCATGAGTTCATGCTATCCAGGAGTACAAATTAGTCACCATCAGCAGAAAACCCTTGAAGCTTCCAGTATTTGGTGTGATTGAACTTTGCACAATAATTATGTTATAGAAAATGTTTGATGTTTGATGTTTGATGAAATATCTTCAGCCAGTGCTTTTGTCCCAGTGCTTTTGTCCCATTGTATAGGTTTGAAAAATGGTCATTCTTTCTGGAATAGCTAAGTAGAACGGAGTTCCTCTTCAGTTTCTCATGCGACATATAAAATTAATCACAGGTAAACTTCACAAAACTTGATTTGATCCCATCTATGTTATAATATTTCCAGTCAAGAAGTCAAACTTTGTTCTTGTAGTGAATCTGTACTACATCAACTATATAACACAAACAATACAAAATTTGAAAGCAAATAAGTATGAGGACTACTAAAGTAATAATGATAGCGATAATATACTTAGAAAGTTCAGAAGATTTGACACGGTAATTTAGTTACCTGCCACTGCAAGGATAATCATTACATAGACATCCTTTCGCAACAAGTACTTATGATTGGACAAAGACACCAGCCTACAAGCTCGACAAATAAAAAAACTAAGTCCAACAAAAAACTCAAGTTTAATTAATAATATTAGAGTTGTTCAAAAACAATGATCCACACATCATGTTCTTACATCTTTCACTACAATCCTGTCTGGAAAACTCAATTTTGGCAATAACCATTCCAACAAGTAGGCTGAGGAGTTTTGATGATTGGTTGTACCAGGATGCTCATCTGAAAGGCAAGAATACGCTGATATCATGGCGGATGACAAAAGCAATTCTCAATTAAAAAAGTAACAATGGAATCCAAACCTGAAGAGTGGACAAGTATTCTGTGTGTAACAAAGGACTGAGACAGTTGAAGAAGCAGTATCAAATTAGAAATCTTAAGACTGAATTTCAAAATTAAGCACACATTAGAAATTAACAAAAAGAAAGCATTAGGGATTAATTTTGGCCCCTTTCCTCCATCCAGGAAAATAAAATGCATTAGAGAAGCCATAACAGCAGCCAGTTCATAAATTTGTTTCACTTTTAATTCATACTCAATATTTAGAAAAGGTTCTTTCTGTAAACAACTGTTATTTCATCAAATAAATAAACATAAAGTACAAGGGAAGATTATTTGAAGCAGCACCTGAAATTTAATAACTAAACAACTGCTTTCACATTTAATGTTGTCATACATAATTAAATTATAATCAAAAGCAGAAACCAGTGATAGTCTCACATCCAGGTCCTGTTAGAATATATTATCTATAGTACGAATAAAGATAATTGTGGGTAGTTATCTATCGTAAACTTTTCCCAGAAATTGTTTAAGAATATCTTTATTTTATATAAGAGGCTTGCCAGATACAAGGCGTCAGGTTATTTATATAATTGTTAAATCAATATCTCGGATAATTACTCTCAATTTCTCCTCCTTTCCCATCTCTCCCACCACTACTATTATTTTCTAGTGTCCTTCCACTTCTATAATTTTTAATTGATATTTCATATATCATTTCATTTTTAGGTCTTCACCTAGAAAATATAAGATCTTAGTAGATTTTTGTAATGGGACACGCATGACAAAAGTAAATGATATACTAGTAGCAAAACTTCTACCTGCCAGACAGATGGCATGTATTCACGATACTGAAAATTTTGATGGTTTCTTGTCATATTTTTTGAACATCTTTCTTCCATGTTCCTGTTATAGGTATCATCATACAAAAATCAAGAAGCACAACTGGGATTAGAACAGATGATACAGCCTACGTTTTATTAGTGGCTGATCAATGAATAGCAAAACAAGGATACAAAAATATTGGGACATTGCAAATGCAAAGAACCGGACAAGTAAACTATGACAGCCGATTGGGTTTCACTAAATTATCTTGGCTTTACAATGTGTTGAAAAATATTAGAGAGAAAATAAGGGAATAGAGGCATGAGAAACATACTTATAAGAGATAAAAGGACACTGTAAAAAGGAAGGAAACTTATGAGACCACAAATACTTTTTTAAAATAAAGATGAGAACGTTCTTGCATCACAATACAGGTTATAATCCTAAGCAGGTTAACATTACAACCTGTACCAATTATATGCAAAATTCTGATATTATTAAAAAAAAGAAAGGGGAATACAAAAGTAAGTAGACCAAAGCAAACCCATTAGGAAAACCTAAAATGTAGAAGACCATGTCTATCTCTATAATACTCATAAGACATGCAAGGAGGAGTAGCACCACCGAATGAATGCTAAACCCCTAATACAATGGTTAACTAAACTATACCACACCTATTACCTGCTCCAAAAATATGAGAAATCCATTCCAACATTTATATTAGAGGATAAAGTACACGGCGGTGTTGTTCTCAATCAGTTACCGGATGACCAGCCTCCTAATAATTAATAGCAGCCAATCAATTACAATGATTCTCCACTAATAACCCTTGAAATGGATAAACTCTTCCTTAACCCACAACTCTACTAATAATTTTTTATGCTTTCCACATATTGCAAGGTGTTATCAAAATCAACCTCCTTGAACCAATCTAAAGATATCTTTCTGATCATACAAGATTTTAGGTGAAATTCAAGAGTTCTTCAAGCTTCTCTCTTCAGAAATTGAAAGGATCATGTTTTAAATTCCACAACCATTATAGAACTCACCCTTTGACCTCATTTGAAGCTGTAGAATATCTATTCCCAAAAATCACTGACTTTGTGGCCATAATAAGCATAGGGTGCACCTGAAGAAGTTTTTTAATATTCTGTACTACAGCTTCTGACACAGTCTGAAGGAAAAGTTTTTTTCTGCATCACATGATATCTGCAAATTAAAATCAACATATATCTGAACCAATGATACACACTTTTTTTCTCCTTGCTTTGTATCTACAAGTTTTCACACCTTAAGAAAGTTAAAGAGGGACAATTTGATCATTTGAGACCGATAATTCAGAATTAAATTGATGCTCTGAGAACTTTAAAACATGAGGCCGAAACACAGCACCACCCACTAGGAAATACCAACATAACTATAACTTACTTGCTGGTTTCTCTTTGAGACAAGAACATTGATGCACGATCCATCCAATGAAAAGCTCCGATGCTGCCAAACACAGTTCACTCAGTCCAAGTTTACTCATTGCATAATTTATTCAGAGCCAATGCCACCATAGTTAAAGCGATGCAGCAACATTGAAAATAACAGTTGGAACCTATGAAACAGCCGCATCATTCCCCACAACTATACACAATATCTCCGGATTTTTAGAGTGAAAAGTTATTCACATGGCATTCCAATATATCAAAGGAGACCACAGAAAAGAAAAGACTTTTATGTTTTACAGTAAATGAGCCAGCCCACCTAAGAATAGTATAAACACTAAAAAAATCGTGTAAGTGGTAACAGTTATGGATGGAAAAAGAGGAGAATTGACTTTGACCAGAATAAAAAAAAATAGATGCAACTAGAAAATCAGAAACCGGAAAAATATGGTTGAATGATAACAAATTCAAAATCATTCTCTGATGTTTACACTTAAGTGTCTAGCTTTTTGCTTAGCGCTTTTCCTCTGCTACACATTTTCCCTTTTCTGTTTTTTCTATATATATCCTCTTTGTATTTGTTTTCAGTGAGTTGAATACCTTTTTGTATCTTGGTATCATTCGCTTCAATAAAGGAGTTTTGTTTCTTTTCTTCCTTTCCTCTCTTTCAACATCATTGAGGTTTTCAGTGTTTGTTTCTACATCGTTCCATCTTCTTTGCACTATGGATCAAGGATACTCTAGTATAAATAATTATTTATCAAAACATGACATTACAAAATGTCATACTTTTCAACAATAGTATAACAATTAAAAAATTGACACTTAAAAATGTCATAATTTACATGAAAAATATGACAGTTCTCTAACAGTTGTGTTATAATGTAAAAGCAACAGTTTTAAATAACTGTCACATTAAAACTCCAACAATATGATTTTTTATAGTGAAAGATCCCAACTATACTCGACAAATAGAAAAGGTACCCAAAAATAAGAGCAGCTTTATTGTACAAATCATAACAAATTCAAGAAAAAAGCAAGAAACCAACCTATCAATCATGAGCACGTGAACACCAACTCCTTGAACTTCTTTCTCCTTCTCTAAACGACAATGCAATGTCTGTTGAAAAACAAGAGGAATAAGATACATTAACAGAAGTAATAATAACACTAGGGTAGTAGTGCAGAAAGAGATGACAGTTATAATAAAATGGTTTAATTACTTTTTAAGAGTTAGACTTTAAACTTAACATAACCCTACAAAACTAGCTTATAAGATTAAGTTTGTATTCACTTATATACTCTAAAATTAACTTTATTTCTAGTCGATATGAGACTTCCAATAGGCCGAAATATATAAAACCGACTTTATCTCTAGTGGATGTGAAACTTTGAATATTACTCATTTGATTTTATACCTCCACAATCTTTAAGAGTAGTCTCTACCTACAAATAAGGGTGAGCAAGAGTTGGGTTCGGCTTATCATTTTCCTAATCTGACCACAAATTTTGAGTATATCATCTATTTAAATTTAAACAAAATTCAATCAAGACCCAAAAATAAATGGAATAAACCGGGTCAACCCAACTTTTTGAATGTAATATATAGATGGTATCAGTATGTATAACTAAATCATAAAATAGAAAGAAGTATAAAACTTAAATTATGGTATAATTTATAATAAATATTGTACGCATCCAAATCAACCTCTGGGCTGGGCTAGCTAGCCAAGTTGGGCAGTGTTCATCCCTGCCTAAGAATTACTTTTGAATTAGATTTAGTCATGTAATTTATAATCTGTTTTAGTTCTACAATTCTGGACTTAAAAAATGCACGTACATCTAAAACCTAAAGTTTATGCCGAGTATCGGGTAAACAAACATATTAGGATACAAGGAAGTACAGGTAATGCAATGCAAAAGTACAATTCAATTGTATGATTTGTATCACAAAAGCATACAAAATGATAAAAGTGAAAAATGGTTTACCCTGAGAGTGTGAAGAAACTCAAAGCTATCGTAACAACGGACATACAAAAAACGGGCCATGCAGAGATGGTACAAGGACTGATCATAAGAATCCGTTCCGTGTTGCGTGATGCGATGAATGAGCAATTGGGAGAAGCGCGTGATGTCGAAGCGGCAATCGAGGTCGAGAAAGAGGACCAAGTGGTCGAGGCCTCCGTAGGGTTTGGGGAGAACGGAAGTGATAGCGGCGTTAATGAGAATTTGGGTTTTGGCGGAGGGCGAGGGTCCCACAAGCTCCAGGACGTTGCCGACGCGGAGAGGAACCCTATGCAGCGGCGGAGGAAACACGAACGGCCGCACGCTGCTCACTCTGCTCAGCATCTCCGCTCCACTCTCATCTCCCTCGATCCACTTTTCAATTTCCTCTCTCTCTTTCTCTTTCATTTCTCTTCTTACTCTTCAAAACTCAATTCACCGTTTCTCAGTCTCACTCAAAGCACACCTCTTCCCGCCTAATAATCCTGCACACAACAATAACGAGAGTTCGCTCGCTATTTTTTCGTTAACAACTTTTTTTTTAATATATTTTGATAATAGACTTTTTTTTACTTCTTATTTTCTAAATGTTTTTCTTTTTTTTTTTTCATTTGATAAAAAAAAGGTTAAATATGATTTTACTTTTCAACTCAATTTTATAAAATAATTTTTTAAAGTAAAATTTTAAATATAACTTAATCTTGTAAAATGGTTGAATAAAATTTACATCTAATTATATAAAAATTTACATCAGTGTAAATTAACACATTTAATATTTAGTGAGGATGATACGTTTATTAAAGAAAATATTAATATTAATATAAAATTGTAAAATTATTTTATCTTTACTTTTTCATATTATTTTTTGTAATAAAGATACACAATAATTACTAAAATATAAAAAAATATTTTAATTGTAGTGAAGTTAAAATAAAATTACCAAAGTTATTATTTCTCATTAAAATTATAATTATGAAATGTATATTATTAAGCTTTTTTTTTATTTTTTTTATAAAGAGTGGCTACGACCAAAATAAACTAAAGTGTCATTTGGTGTCTCTTCTAATTTTGTATATAATTTTTATTCTTTCGTTCTAGTCCTAAAGTTTCCAAAAAATTTCAGTTTTGTTTCTCATTCCTTAACTATTGTGTTGTTTGGTAAGTCGAGGTAACTTATTTATTTAATACGATATCTAAATAATTATACATATAATAAAAACATCACATTTATTATTAAGTAATAATTTAAAGGGTTAAATATGTTTTTAGTCCCTAAACTATTGGCCATTTCTGGTTTTCGTCCCTCTTCCAAAGTAAGGTACACTTTAGTCCTTATACTTTTCGAAACTTTGGTTTTAGTCCTCCAAAACTAACACCGTGAAAAATATGCTGACATGGCTAACGGTAGACTGACACAGTTCTTTTTTTTTTTCAGAGTTTATCAGCTTTTCTTCCTTTCTCTCTCCCTCGTCTCTTCCTTCAATTTCAAAAGGTCAGAGAAAGAGATGCTTAGAAAAGGGATAGAAAGGGAGGAGCAGCATGGACAGCACATACGAAAGAAAGGTCAGAGATGAGAGTTTGCAGTGACACTGATAGAGAAGAGGAACTACAAAATGCTTTTATTTTAGATGTTATTCGTGTGAAACTCTAGGGAAAGAGAAACATTAAGCTGAAACCTTGTGTTTCTAAGCCATCGTAGGTGCTTTATTTATATTGAAAAAAGAGTAATTCAATACAATAAACAGAGGAGCTTTGATATCCTCTAATAACAAAGATATGATTTGTAAATAAATAAAAATATTCCTAATAATACATATATAATCTATATTCCTGATTATATAAGACCAACTCCTTATTTCTATAATTTCCATAATTATAACAATTTGAAATCCCTTCATTTTACTTGAAAATAAAACCTCTTTAAAATTCCCAGCATTATGAATTTTATTTGCATTTGATATCCAAGTAACTCATTTTGATATGCTATATGGTTTTAAATCCATTTAAAACTTGAATGCCTCTTTCAATTCCTCATCCAAATTCACTATAATTTAGCTTAAGGACTAATTATAATTTCTACTGGGTTTGTAGATACGTAGTCATGCACAGAAATACTTTCTCAAAGTTCAGAAGAGTGGAGCAAGTGAACATCTTCCGCCACCCAGACCTAAAAGAAAAGCAGCACATCCATATCCCCAAACTGCTTCACGAATGGGAGACCCGACAGGGACTTCCTCAAATGGAGGTGGAAACCTGACGAATGTGAGCTTCCACTGTTTGATGCCAAAAAGTTTCTGAAGCTTGTTCGCAGAAAGTCCATGGCTTTTGTTGTGTTTTGAAATTGAAGGAAGAGACGAGGGAGAGAGAAAGGAAGAAAAGCTGATAAACTCTGAAAAAAAAAAAGTGTCTCAGTCTACCGTTAGCCACGTCAGCATATTTTTCACGGTGTTAGTTTTGGAGGACTAAAACCAAAGTTTCGAAAAGTATGAGGACTAAAGTGTACCTTACTTTGGAAGAGGGACGAAAACCAGAAATGGCCAATAGTTTAGGGACTAAAAACATATTTAACCCTCTATTTTACCCTAATTTTAAAATGATTTTTAATGGTTCATCATGTGTAAAAAAGTATCTGATCCAACAAAAACTAATTTGAACAATTTAATATAGGAGTGGACTTATCATAAAAACGTAACAGTAAACACAAGAAAAAAACAGTAATTTAATATGATCATGAATGAACAATGGTGACCATTATTTTAATTCCAACTTTTAAGAGAGAAAGTTATCAGTATGATGTTCTACGTTCTTGTTTTTTTTTATTTTATTTAATATAAATAAGAACTTAATCATCCTTATTCTATGCTTAATACCCTAGTTTGTCTCCAGGTTGTCTACATGTCCAAATTAGTCCATCATTTTAAAAGTGCGTCTACGTCCTTATTTAATAATTTATATCAATGAACTCGTCCGTTAAATTAGGACTGAGTGGAAGTATTGGATCATAAGTCAGGCACGTAATTGACGCATTTTGTAAAACCTATTGACGCATTTTTTGAAAGAATAGACTAATTTAACATTGTCCAGCGAACTGGAGATAATATTAAAACTTACTTTTTGGTGTGAAACTACTCATCGGCAATAATATGTTGTGGGCTGGAGGCGCTTGACTGTGTGAACGTGGCTCCTTATTCACGTAAGACATGTTTTTTTCCCGTGCAGTGTAGGAATGGCGTAAGCACCACTAGGTTGCACATGGCAACTTGTGTGGCTTGCTTACACCAAACGTGAGGTGCGGTCTCTGAATCAACCACCCTTCATATCCCCTGTGCTTCTTAGTTTA